CACTATGAGCAGAATAGTGGAAAAGGCGGTATTAGTAGCATGCAATTGAAAATATAACTAAAAACTAAAATAAGTAGCTGTTAATTATTCTGAATAAGTCCAGGTATCCAAATCTAAATAACCAAGAGCAATGATGTGATTTTCTTATGTGCAAAATCATAAGTTTAAGGTTTTATGGTTTATTGTTTTAAATGTCTGTTTTAATATGAAGGTTCTCTCATGCTATAATGTCAGCAGATAAGCCTGTAATTGGACAATAAAACACTAAACCAACAATAAACCTGAGTCATGACAGAGGTCAGTTGGTTCAAACAAAACTGCAGGTGCTTTCACTAATTTCATCTGGTTCCCTGTGAAAAGGATGGGAAACGAGCGCCATCAGGAAACAGCTGCATGAATCAGGTTCCAGAAACACAGCATATCAAACCTACTGAACAGTTCTTTCCTTCTCACCAGCCTACATGAGATCACCCAGGTTTCCCTTTACTGTACCTCTTTTACAAACCTCCTGGAGTTCTTAGCATCTGATTTAATGTGCCGCTGCTGCTTATAGCTGCCAAACAAGTACAGTCCATTCCTTACGTCAGCTGAAACACACCCGTTCTTTCTCTGCAGCCTGGGACTCGCAGGTGCAGGACTTCCAGCGTCACTCTGACTGCCAATCAATTACATTCCAGTTCTACACATGCAATTCGACCCAGATTTGAATGTCAGTCTGTGGTCACAGACAAACGGCCCAGCTGTCAGTAAATGAGTGCTGCTAAAGCTCCCTTCTAACCTTTAGCTCTCAGGTGATGACATCTGCGGAGAAGAGGACCGTTTTTTTTTAGTTTTTTTAAATTGTTACTATGTGTCAACCAAACACTTGCGCACTGAGATATTGCAGTTCTTGTTTTGGGAATCTAATTAGCAACGGAAACACTGTGCTGTGTAAAAGTACTTGCCTAATTACAGATTCTTCTTCTTTTTTTTTTTTTGATCATGACTAAGTCAACCAATTTTAATATCTAAGGTGATACGAGTACAGCAAACACAAAAAGTTATATTTCAAATACTAGGGGATATAAACGTCATCTTAAAATGTCATTAAATAACATGAGTGAAGAGTTTGTCAGTTAACGTGTTTAAATTAAATCAGGATTTTACCAGCCTTTTTTTTTTTTTTTTTTTCAAACTTTTTATTAATTTGGGTAAGTGTTAAACTAAGCCACAGAACAATGGGATGTGGTCGCGGCAGCCGCTTGTTGGGGCGACGAAACAAAAAGCAGAGAGGGAAGATGCTCCGTTAGAAAGGGATGATGCAGCAGCTCAGAAAAACACCATTACTTGCTGCTGTAGTTGCACAGACACAAAGTGACAGTTTGTAAAGATTTAAAAGTCAACATGTCTGTAAATCATAGTTTATCCCTTTGGTTTACTGTCCTTCTTGGTTTTACTAGATAGTTGATTAGCATTATGTAAGCCACACCAGGGTTTACTTGTAAGTGAAACAAGACCCAGCTATTAAGGCAGGCGTAAGGTCGCTTGTTTTGTTTGGTCCATTTAAACAGGACCAAAAACACTACAGTGTTAAAGTGCCATCACTTGAACTGAACGTAGTCCCTCATCAAGAACTACCACGAACTGGCAAACTCCCCTTGATTTTTTTTTATAGTGTATCTTTTAATGAAATGTGATGACGACAGCATGTGGTAATTCAGAGATAATCTTCACTGACAATGGAAGAATGATTGAAAGTACCACTTTATTATACAGCAATTATTCAGCAAACAGAAAAATAACTAAATTTAAGAAAATTAAAACGGAGCCATGATGTTCCCACCATTCGTGCCTTAGCTTTTTCACATTATTCAATTGATCCATGGAGATCACAGTCTGTATGTGGTTTCTGATTGTGCAGCTTGGGTTACAAACCAAGAGGGTGTGGCTAAAAAGTTGCAGCAATTACTTGAGCAAGATGTGTGAGATGCACGTGAGCTCTGTGAGCTCATTCAGAGTATTTAAAAGCATTAAATCCCTTAAAAACAAGAAAACTTGTTGTGCGTCATCTTCAACATGTTATCATCTGCCTCAGATTATATTGACCAACAGGTTTCTCAGATCAGAAAAACAACTGATTATTGTCCAATGGTTTTGCTTTGCTGGTGCTCCCTTTGATTTGCTTCATGTTATTACATCTCACTTGTTCCACAATCCCACATTAGTTCCAACAGTTTATAGTTTATAGTGGTTGTGGGTTTTTACAACTTGTTGATGTGGATCTGGGGTGTAATATTAGTGGATTTACTTCAATGTTCAGTTGACTTGCAAGGCGTAAAGAACACGTAGATCACAGAATAAAAAGATGATGCAGAAGTGGTACTTGCCTCATACAAATGAGGTTAATATCCATTAGCTTAGCAAGTCCATCTGATAACTTTTCATAGGAACCTTGAATTCTTCATCCAAGCAAATATTACTCACTCATTAGATCAGCAGATCAATGACCAATACCGAGCCTGTGTTGACAATTAAAAGCCTTCACAGGAAAACATACACAAAGCCTCTCTGACTTTGGGTTCTTGCAACATGAACTATTTACTCTGAGCGAGTGTGGGAGTAAATAGACTGAGCAATCTGGTCAGCTGGTGAACAGGAATGTGGCTGCAAGACTGTTTTCTTTCAAATTTTGCTGATCCCATCTCGGTTTGACTGGTGGCTATTGTTCCCAGTTTGAGGAAGTTGCTTCTGCTGCCCATCTGCACCAGAACAAGCAGGGGGTCCATAACGGATCCCTTTAACTTTAAACTTATTGAATTACTGCAAAGCATAACAAAATATTTTCCTGTATACACATGTACAAATGCACTAGCATACTAAGGGCTCTAATGTCATTTGGTCCAAACTCAACTGTTAATAGGGAAGTATTAGATTTCCATTGCTTATCCTTAATGAACAAATAGCCACAGGAATTTAAGGAATGCTGTGAGAATGGATCTTGGAGCTTTTGGAATTCATCTGTGGCCACAATATAAGCCATTTTGCAAACCCCACTGAGATGCATAATGTACTCCAAGGGAAACAGAGGTTTGATGTGAAGCTGTATGGCAAACCATTTGTATAAATACTAAGTACCCTTGACATCAACAGTCATTTTATTTCTGGTTTCTTCTCTACTAGTTTTTAAACACCAGTTTAATATTTAGCTGTTCTAGTTAAAGAAAACTAACTGACTAATTCTTGATTACTTGTCATTTTAATTAAAGTAGTAGAAGCAAAATTGCTGCTCCAGTCCCAAACTGTGGGCTTTTTGACACACTAGTTGATGACTAGACCAATGTAATTGTTGACCATGGCCTACTTGTTAACAAGCTGGCAGTAAACACCAACATGTTTACCGGTTTATACAAATTCTGGATCCAAGTTCACTCTTGGTCCTTACATTTGTGCACAAGTCAACTAATCTGACATAAAAACCTAACTCAGGGGTGCCCAAAGTCGGTCCTGGAGGGCCGGCATCCTGTATGTTTTAGTTCTCTCCCTGGTTTAGCGCACCTGGATCAAATGATGTCTCATTAGAAGGTCTAAGAAGAACACCGACATGCTGAGGAGGTTGTTACCAGAGAGAGAACTAAAACATGCAGGATGCCGGCCCTCCAGGACCGACTTTGGGCACCACTGACCTAACTAGTTGACAACTAACACCATAAAATGCACAGTAGTTTTGACACCTGTTGACACATTTTTGGTCTTACTGGTGAACTAGTAAAGCTAGATGATGGTAATTAGTTTACGAGTAAGGCAGAGTGTTCAACTACCTTTGTCGCATCATCAAATAGAGCTTTAAAATACATGTTTGAATGTCAGTTGTGAACTAATCTGTGAATTAGGGCAACTTTTTATGATGTGGTATTACATTGCCCCCAACCAATAGGTCTTGTGTCAAATAACTGACTTGCTAAGAGGACTTTTACCACTACTAGTTGGATGAAAATGTCACTAACTGGTAAAAAATGTCATACTAGTCAGAGTGTTTTAGCATGTCCAGAAACGTATTGAAGTAGTGCAAGAAACCTTCTGCCATATGGGCCAAAATCACAAAGTTGAAAGGGCATAAAGTACAAAAATTGTTATATTGTAATTTTTTTTTTTTTAATTTTGCAGGAAAGAAAATGAATCACAATAATTTAATGAAACAACATAATTTGATTCTTGGAGAAAATAGACCCATAAATCATTGTAGATTAAAATATATATTTTTAAGAAGTCCTGAATGAATGCCATTTTAAAAGAAATAAAACTATTTGCCACAATTTTGCAGAGTCATAATTTTCTATACAGGTCAACAAAACAGAATCTAGGTCACTCTCTTTCAAAACAGTTGCAATATTTACCAAAAACAATTAAAATGGGCCAACTCAAATCAGAAAAAAACATTGTGGTCCTATTTACTGTGAAATTAAAATGAAAGTAAAAAAAACTCAGTTAACAAATGAAGTATAATACTTTGTGTTATGTTTAACATTTTACGTTCCTCATCAACCCTATGTACTGACAGGTCAACTCTTTACCTTTACTGGCCGCACAAAATAATTTCCCGAGCCACAAATGGTCCATGGGCCACAGTTTGGACACCCCTGGGCTAGTGGAGTGTTGTCCCTTCTGTTGGTAAATTGGCCATCTCATAGGGATTTGGAATATTTGCATAAACTGCTTACCATAAAGTGGAGTACTTTGACTGACAGGTGTTGGCAGATGTCAAACGGACGGAGCTTGGCAGACAAGTCCATTAAAATACAATCACCTGAAAACGCTTCAAAATGCAACTGCGGCATCGTTTTACACGACTGCACTCAAATTAAGAAATGCCATGTTGCTTTTGTGAATCTACAGCCAGAATCGCGGAGAGTCCAGTGCCACCACTTCTTCACAGAGCTGATGAGAAATCTTTGTTCGCAACTCGACTCAAATTTACCCAGCAAGTCAACGCTTACATGCAAACGCATAAAGCCGCCACCTACCTTTGTGCTTCTCCATTCAGAAACTTTCGTCGCCCCCGTTTTGCTCCTTACATGCAACGAAAAACAAAATAAAAACAATCCGGAAAGTTTCTGAGTGAAGATGGGACCCGAAACCTCCCGGTGCTGTTCAGGCGCAACTCTGACCGACTGAACTGCACTCAGACTGTTGGGACGCAGAAGAGCGCGTCCCACTAACGTCTTCCTAATCATTTTCTGAGCCGCGCCTCCTCCTCCACCCAGTCTGCAACATCCAGACAGAAAGACAAAAGATCGGTCGTTTCACTCACTGTGGTGATCCTCGTCGGAGTCATTCAGGTTTTTACCAGAATTTGATCGACTGCATTCATTGATAAAAATGTGTTAAAGAGCGTTTAACATTAAAAATCTAGTTTAAAAAGAACACTGCCTGATGCACTTTTCAATTAATAAGCTTTTACAAAAATATGCACATTGCTTCCTAACGACTTGTCTGATACAAGGTTTTGTTAAATAAAACACAATGAAGACAAATGCCAGTAATTATTAATGACATCACAAAAGGCACAATAATCACATGGGACTATAAAAAAAGGCATGCAGTGTTTCTAATTTCGCAACTTTGCCAACATATCTGCCAACAGACCACTTCTTTACTGACTACTTCTCAAAAAAAGACAACAAAACAACAAAAAAGTATATGCATAGCTGCCAATTTTGTTATGGATTGAATTAGAATGATATCTAGGTTTGCTATCAAAGGTAGGAGCAATAACAAACAACACGAGAAACGTCTACAACAAAGCTACACAAATTTGTAGAAGGTGGAAGACTGGATACTCTTAGGAGGATTTTTAAAAGTTGTTTTGTTAAGCTGTAACAAAGACCTTGGCTAACAACCACTGTGCTTTTTCTCAGTTGTTTGCACCTTCCACTAACCAAAACACTGCTTCCCATGGATGGCAAATTTAAGCCCTGGACATTTTTGAGACTCTGACTCAACTCAACATATTTGACCTTGTCCATTTGCATGGTTCATGTAGATTATATACAGTTATAAACTGCTGTCTGACAAAGGTCTTGTTCGTTGTTTTGCTGCTTGGTACTTGAGCTGAAGATTACAGACATTCTCCTCCAGCGTTTCTGTTTGAGAGTACAATGTTTCCATCCAATTTGTGAAGTTATTCATCACCCTGCCACTAAATTTCATCTAACCCTTTCACTTTAACTTCCCCCTGAAGTGCTGTTTTGTTTTACACCAAGCGTAGCGGAAGCCACATCTCCCCAAAAGTTCCACTTTTGTCCCCGTGGTCCACATCATATTTATTTTCAAAGGTCTTGGGGATCATCAAGTGGCTTTTGGCAAATGTGAAGGGTCTCTGTGTTCTTTGGCCTTGGAACTCTGCCATGGATGCAATGTGTGCCCAGTCTCTTTCTTTGAATTATTTTGTGACCTCCTAGATGAATTGTTGATGCACTCTTGAAGTTATTTTGGTAGGCAGCCACTCCTTTGAAGTTTTGCCAATTGTCCTTTTTACGTTAGTTGGAAATAGATCTCACTGTGGTTCAGTGCAGTCACCAAAGAACGCCAAGGAAAGGGTTTTGCAAACTATCCCACACTGTTTCTAGCCTGTTTTTGAATTTCTTTAGATCAAGCTTTGAGATTTCCCTCATGTTGTCAGACAGGCATCTTGGTTCTATGTGTTAGAAGACCTTGATGTGACTTGAACTTGAACTTTCAAAAATTATTTCATGATATAATAAACCCATTTGGCTGATGACATTAAACATTTTGGTGTCCTGAAAAGCATCTGTAAAGGCGCAGATGCTTGTACATAGTTAGTAAAGCAAGTTAAGCTAATTTGTTCAAAAGTTCAACTAACTCAACTTTCCCTTGTTTTTGTTTGCAAAACTGATTTTATTGTTTTAGAAAAAAAAACTAGAAGAAATTGTTTATTCTAAGTGCTTTTAGTGAAAGAAATTGAGCATCTGTTCCATTCCCAAACATATATATTTACCTTTTAAAAAAAAGACTCCAAACTCTTTCCTTGTCTTATACAGAAAAGTAAAGTACCTTCACAATCCAGCACCCCTGTGGGAGAACTGTGACCGGGTGGAGGTATGAGAGGAATGTCAAGCAACAAAACACACTGCAGCGGATGATTAAAACGCATGACATGGATCCCAGTGTTTCCTCTTTTTTTTTTTTTTTTACAAGGCAGTCCGTGTAACCGGTATTTAAGGAGGGAGAGGGCACGTGCACGCCAGTGCACAACATGTGGTTAACTTTTTAATTTTAGCAGCTCAGACAAGGATAATTCCTGTGGTTTGGTCAGAGCTGTGTTTCAAATGATGAACTCACACCCAAAACAAAGGCCACACACAGGTAGATCTGACGATATGATGTAATCTAATGCCGCTTAATGACTCAAGGAGAAGAGGTGTATGAGTTATTTAAAATGAAAATGTTTCTCTTTCTGATGAGGACAGACACACTCAGCTGCTTGAGTTTGGAAACAGATGGTGTACACATGATTCAAGAAATAGAAGACTATCAAAACCTGGATAAAAAGAAGTATATCAACAGATTTAATGTAGCCATAGCTAATAAGCTGTGCAAAGAGATCTTCAGGAAAAAAAAAAAAAGTCTCCAAACTTACAAACCAAATAAACAACATAAAATCCTGCCGATATATTACAAAGACATGAAATGTTGTCTGCTGTCTTTTCTACAAGGCTTTAGTTATGACTGCAGCATATAAGTAAAATGTTCAAGAGGAAGTGGGTGAACAAGAACAGACCATTCAGGAAAGAAGACAGGAAATCATTGGCGAGTGTGCACAAAGACATTACATTTTCAAAACTTTCGCCATCAGCTTACCTGTTAAACCGCAGATGGGAACATAAACACAGACCCATCGATACTATCTTGTGTTTTGCATACCAGCACAGAGTTTGCAGAGTCTCTTTGACTTTCTCCAGTTACTGATTGACAATATGGTATATCATGGGCAGATCGATTGTCCATCAAAGTTAAAGTGACAACAGATAGTTCATATATGAACACATTCAAACTAAATGGCATTTTTAGAATCTCCAGTTAACCCACAAATCATGATTTTGTTGGTTGTGGGAAGAAGCTGTATTACCCTGAAGGTGTAACAGGAAGGTGCTCCAACTTCCTGTTAGAGTCCAGGTTTAGTGATCCTTCTAGAAAGCTCTGTCCATATAATATGCTATCTAACAGTTGGAACCATTGCACACCAGGAAGATCCAAACTGTACATTAAGAATGTGGTGCAAGTGGTAGAGTCTGGACTTTAATGAATCCAACCAATGTTTCTAAGATCTACAAAAGTTAAAAATCATTGCTTTTCTCATTGTACACATCTTAGTAGAAAAAAAATAAATCGATTCCATTAAATTGGGCCTTAGCTTCACTGAGCTTTTACAGCTGTTGAACAGGATAATGGATTCACCTGTGAACTTATTGTTTTATCCTCACAATAAAAAGTGATTTTTAGCTCTACATCATGAGCTATAGTTGCTTAGTTTCATGTTAATGAATGAATGAAGATGCTCACTCTTCTGGAGTTCCTACAAGTATCCCAGTTTATTTAGGGGATGTTTTAATGACAGGTGTCATACTGAAGAGCCTCTGCCTCCAAGATGACGTATGATGTTTTGTGTATGATCTGTACTAATGTAATCATTTGAAAGAAAATTAAAGACGAAAAGGTGAAAACAAAACCCCATCCTTGAAAGATTTGTCAAGTACCTTGGTTAGATATCATCCTGTGACCTGAATATTTCCCAAAACTATTTAATTCAAGCTGGTTCCATCTGGATTTTTCTTTGCAGCTTGAAAATACAGATTATTTTGTCTTTTTATCTGTCCTGGATAAATTGAAGTCCTATCTTTGGGGAGATTTCACCTTTAGTCAGAGAAGGTTGGCAGATGATGTCAAGTTTTTTTACTCCTTGTTCTAAAGGCTTGAGTGAAAGGCAAATGTGAGTCAGGCAGGATGATGGCTCAGCAAGAAGTGAAAACCAGGGTGGTCTGGACTTTCTTGCCTCCGCTCTTTCTTTGTCTGCGAGCCCACTGCTGAAGAACGGTCCTGTTAATCCAGCAGGGGAATTCCTTTTGTGCAGTCCCATGGAGAGCTCTGTCTGGGCTGGAACTTGGACATCTTTTGCGTTCATATTAGGCTGCTTAAGGAAATTTTTGTAAGTGAATTGGGAGTAGGTGAGAAAAAAAGGAGACTGCTAAGTGTTAAGAAACGGCGAAAACAGACAGTTGAGGTGAACAAAGCTGTTGAAGGTGCAGACTCTAGGATCGGACAAAAAGCATTCCTCAGCTGTGAATCAGAGGTGAAAAAGGTCAACTCCGAAATAACACCAATCCCTGTTTAATTTGAGGCTCTCCCCTTTGTTTGCACACATAAGCAAAGACACATAATGGAGCGTCTTACTGCCCTAAACAAAGACTTTCCATCTCTGTTGTCATTACAAATAAATGTAGCCCAAACCATGTGCTTTCATGTGGAAACACACCCTCATCCCCCCAAAAAAAGGAAAAACTCACTGACTCTACAGCACCTTCTTGTACTCCTAAGAACATTTAGACCAAGAATACACAGGGTATACTATCTTTAGATTGGTGAAGTCTACTGTCCTGAACCAGTGCATCCAAAAGTGATGCATGCATCCAGCGGCTGCTGTTTAATTTAGGAAATAAAATAAAAGTGATGCATGTACCTGCACATTCTCCGGTGGTTCAAGATGGGGACTGATTACCTAAAGTGTGATCATATTATTTTTAGTTAAGGTGTGATCTGGTTAACAGCAGGCGCTGTGGAAAACAAACATTGGTTCTTCAGAATTCAAAGTGTTAGGTGAGGTAAGAAAATTCTTGGTCTGGCATCTTCAAATGCTAACTTCTGAAATACCCTGGGAAAAATAACTATTTACATGAATGTATTAAATTTCCTATGATGGAAATATATATAAATTGCCAACTGAAATGTTTGCACTGAGTGAAGCTTCTCGGCAGACTCTTATAGTTTAAGGTAAAATACTTTTACAAAGTTAGGCATCTTTTTTGTTTTCAGAGATCTTATTTAATAGATATAATTACATAGTTATTAAATTAAATAAAATTATATATTTTTTTCGTGTTTTCTTCTAAGGTGGTTTTACTTCATGAAGTGTGAGTGTACCCTTAGTGGCACTGTGCAACATTGCCATCTGCAGGTGGAACAGCTAACGACTCCACATTTTTATTTAATATCACCAGAGAGCAGAACAAGTTGAAAACGAGTTGAGACACGACAAATATAACAACAATCAATGCTTTTCCTATATCTGAGTATTTGATACGACAGAGAAAGAGACAAAGTGATTCAATTCTCCTGTTTGGAAGGAAAAGGCAAATTTAATTGTTTAGCATTAATCAAACAGAATGTAGTTAAAAGAGCTTTAGGTAAATGAAGGAACAGAAACTCAATTTGTGAATGCTGAAAAGTGGTGAATTTGTAAAACTAGTATTAAATCCACTTCCAATATGTTTAAAGTTTTTAGATGGGAGTGGTCTTAAGACAAATCCCTGAGGGATTTCATTGCTACAATAAGTTAGATGACACTATTTATATATATCTATCTTTTTAAAGCTGTGCTTGAAAAAGATAGTTATCAAACCCACCAACAGAATCATTACAGAGCCCAATAAATAATTATATTTTCACTATGAAGCAAAAATAATATTTTTTTTATTATATTCCTCTCTGATAACAATTCTTAGTAATGTTTTTGTTTTATGTGTTATTTTCTACAGTCTTAATGGCCTCAGAAGGCATGAAAAAAAATAACATTTTCAAGTTGGTATTGAAAGGGCGTTAGCCACATACATGTTTATTGTAAAATTTTTACTGAGCAAAAGGAAACTGAAATGCCAGGCATTCAGTTTTAATGATCTTTCAATAAGATTTTTTTCTGTGAATTTTACTGCATGATTCTCACTTGTGTAAAACTAATATCCATGCTGAAAAAAAACCTTCGCAGACCACTCTCTCTGTCTGAATGGAAACTGGTGACTCTTATGAATTTTATTATTTGTAATGCCTTCATCACACAACCACTGTATGTCACAGTGTTTATACTCCTGGAGTTTGCTCTCCGGTGTATGCGTCGGTTCTCTCCAGGGACTCCAGCTTCCTCCCACAGCTCAAAAACATGGCTGTTAACTGTTCTCTCATAAATCGCCTCTAGGTATAAGTGTGTGAATCATTGTTTGTCCTGTGTGTCTCTGTGCACAAGGACACATCTAAAATAATACAACCCTTAGTATGTGCTGCTGCTTGTTTTAGAATTATCTGATCTACCCTGAGTCATCTAAACAGCAAAAAGGATTTGGACATTAGTCAGGAAATCATTTATTAAAGCCACAACTTAAAAATCTTAGGATAGCTTCAACATCAATATTTTTGTTTGTTTTGCTTGTATATTTTTTTCCAGGAATATCTTATAACATCTTATTGGTATAAATCATGGAGTTAGTAACTATTTTAGTAACTTATGCTTTTTTCTTAGTTGTCACATTCTGTTATTACATTGTAAAATCGATGTTAAAACACACTCCTCCCTACCACAAGATAAATGTTTTCTTCTTTCTTATCAGAAGGAAATCAAGCTAAACTGGATTTTTTTTAACATTTTCTGATCACTAAAAATGCAAAACTATTTTATATGTAAACATTTGTTTTTTAAACTAATAATTTTCTTTCTTTTTTTTATCACTGGTTTCTGAAAAGATAATCCAGTTACCAAAACTTTCACAGACCGTCCACATAACCAACTAATAATTATCAGATAATAAACGCTTTTATAAAAATTACCACAAAGGCGAAAGTAGGCATCTATATTTTGGGAAGTCCTTGACCTACATGACTGTTGCATTGGCCAACTGTGTCCGTTTCTGAGCGCTGTCTCTTTAAGTGGGGCTTGTTTGCAGTGCGCATGCGCGTGCTCTGTTTAGTTTTCTCCAACCTGAAGAGCTCTGGCTGCCTAGCTTCGCATCGCTGACTGTTGTTGTGAAGCTTCGAGAGAAATGAGACCTTCCCCCCCCCCCCAGCTGGAATATAAAGGACGTTAATAACAGACGTTAATGTGACAGAAAGCCACGCTTGAGGAAGTCTGGAACCGCAGTGGAAACCGACTGTTTGGGTGAAGAATAGCTAAACTGTTCGCTGAAAATACCCCCTCAGCAGCCGGAGCAGCAGCAGCAGAGGAGCAAGAATAGCCCTCACGGATCCCACATCACAGCACATCCACTGCGGCAACCCTGTTCTCTGACTCTGGCGGCTACAAACGCTTCAACCACTTTTGGGTTTTCTTGTGTGACTATTTGGGTGGAAAAAAAAAAATCTTCGGCGAAAACCCAGTTGCTAGAGGAACTACCCGCTTTTAGTATAGAGGTTTGTTAACGCATTAAAATGGCTGCTGAGACGGTATTTGCGAGAGAATGGTTCTAATTCAACGTATCAAACTGCAAATGAGTTACTCTGGCTAACAAACTGTATTAGTTTGGTCTATGAGAATATACAGCCAACAGCAGCTTTTGATTTAACGTTTATTGTTTCTTTAAATAGGCGCTTCCAAGGGAGAAGTGGTGACGGGAATTCCTCTCAATCCAAGTCTATGCATGCGGTTAACCGAGCAGCTTTAGTAGACACGCATTGCATTTATTTTAGGCCTTTTTAAGTCTTAATCGAGTGTGCCCACCACTCAACGAACATGCAGGACTTCTTTGTTATAGTTGAAGCGTCCTGAGAAGTCGAGGCTTTCTCTCTGAGAAGGCCCCGCTTGGTCGACCTGGAGGGGAGGAAGAAAGAAGAGGAACCATGGAGATTGGAGGAAGATGTAAGACTCGACTTTTTCTATTCGGGCCGAAGCTAGTTTCGAGGAGCGATCCGAGGGGAATCCACAAATATCTGGTGGTGTATGCTTTGTTTTCCTTCGTGCTGTTAACGCACGCCTCCCCGGCGAAATCCTGTGACAAGAGCTGTAACTCGGGGAAATGCATCAACGGATCCTGCGTCTGCGAGCGAGGATGGGTCGGAGATCAATGCCAGCACTGCCAGGGGAGGTTCAAGTAAGTGGCCGAAATTCCTTTCCCGATGCCGGGCTCTGAGTAATTTCTCTAGGAATGATCGGAGGCAGGGATCAGTAGGTGAGCAGCATCCAGCGGCTGCTGTTTAATTTAGGAAATCGGTGGCAGTGAAAGTCATCAGGAGACAGGAACAACAGTGGGTCCTGCTTGTGCAAATGAGCAAAAACACTCCTGCTGACTCACTGCGCAACAGGATGAGTCCTGGTCAAAACCCGTAATTGTGGGGAAAGTTAGCAGACCTGCAAACGCATCCCACAGTATTAACACAAACACTTTCAAAACCGGCATGATGTACTGTACTATCTTTTACCTAGCGGGTTCATACTTCTTTTTTTTATTTTTTAGCAAACCTCCTGACTGAGCAACTGTAAAACTTATTTCCATATTGTTATTGAGCCTACAGCACAACGTTATCCAGAGTCCAACACAATAATTTTGGCAGCTACACACAAACATAGCAGGCTCTGAGGGTGATCTACAAAACACAGCAGCTTATCTTTTTAATTCGGCCCCCAAGCTTCAGGGTATTACATTGGGACTTTAAGAGATAAATCAACACAAGATACGGAATAATTGTAAATTACAGTTGAAACCAGACGTTTAAATACACTGAATAATAAGACACACATTTTCCCATGGTCTAAATTTAAATCAGACCAAACTTCTCTTGTGTGATTAATACCAAAATGATTTATAGTCACTAAATGGCTCCGAGAAGTTGTAAGAGATTTATTTATTAACATCTTAAAAATCCGAGGTTTATCAATTAGTATCATGTTTTCTGCTCAAGTAGGAAATCAGAAAGTATTTAAAATATGAAGTGATGAAGCAGCCTTCATTCTTTTGACTCTATTTGGATCTTTAATACTTTAGCTAATTTCTATGCAGGCTTCACACCTGTATAATATTTAGTAGTGTTGTGTTTAATCTGTATTATTTGGGTCAAGCCTTTCGGGTCTCTTTCCAAAAGCTTCTCACAATACTTTGCTGGAGTTCTGGCCCATTCCTCTTTACAGAACTGGAGGAAATGAGTCAAGTTTGGAGGCCGCCTCACCAACACGTCTTTTCAGATCTACCCACAACTTCCCTTAGAAATGACCTTATTAGTAAATAGTGTTCAAAGATGTGTTGCTTGGCATAAGTATAAATTAGAGCTGCACAATGTCACCTTCAACATTTCAATATTAATGTTTGCAATTGAGTGCCATGTAATTATGTATCAAGTTTTAAGAACTTTTAGATTAGGGTGGGGAAATAGTAATGATGTAAAATTAGACAAAAAGAATCGTGGATGATTTTCCTGATGCAATCGTTGTATAAATGGTGGGAGAATCTGACTGTGCAAAAACTATTTGTTGAGTTATCAAGCAATAAAGACACTTAAAAATACAGTTTTTCTTTAGAAATTCTGCTTGGTCTGAATCATTTTTTCTAAAACCGTTAAAAAGAAATGGAGTAAAGGAGTCTGTAAAGTCATAAGTCGCTTCAAAGCAACGGGTTTTAGTGTGTTGTTGAATTGTTTATGTCAGAAGGTTGCATTTGACATTAGGTTTGGAAACTATGCTACGGCTAAGAGAAACACGGTGTTAAGCTAGAACAAACTGAACTTAGGCACTTGTGCATATAAAGCATGTTTTGTCACATTCAGGGTTTTCATTTTTAGAGGAAGTGACTTTTTTCAGCAGTCTATGTGGACATTCACCATTGTGTAATAATTTGTGCTGCCTATTTTTTATTTTTTTTTGCACTGTTCAGTATAGTAACTATCTATTTGTCCACATACCTATCAAGTCATTTGTCACTGCTTCCTTATATTATTATGTTTATCCATCCATGCATTCATACATATGTCCATGCATTAATCATCCATCTGGTTGTCAATTCATTCACCTTCTGTCTTGCAGAAATATCTCCCATAATTACATAATAAACATTTGCATTATGTTTTCAAAAAAAAAAAAAAAGCTAAAATGACTCTGGACCTCTAGAAAGTTCTGTAAAGAAAAGCGTAAAATCCTGCTATCAAAAGATGTAAGTTAGATAAAGCGTACCTTATTCCACATCAAATCTATTCTCTTGATTTAATGTTTGGAGGTCTGTGTCATAAGATCTTCCAAATAAAAGATCTTTGTCTCTTCTGGGCATCGCAGCACATATTCTAAACCAATAACACTTTCCTATGCACTGACTTATTGACTCAAAGTTGCAAATAGATTTTCAATGAAATCCCCAAACATATAAATCAGTTTGGCTTTGTGACAAGAGTGAGCACCCAGTGGCTTTGAGGAAACATCTGTAATCCACTTAAATTTCCATAAACCTCTCCACTCTCGCAGCAGTGCTTTTATTGGATGAATTCTCAAAAGGCAGGAATATGTGTCATTTGGTGGCGATGCAAGACAAAACAGATCGGGTAGATATAATAAAATCTAAGGATGCAATGGCAGAATTAATGACTGCTAGCTTGGTAATGCTGTTGGATGGCCTTTCATTAGCCGCTCTCAGTGGCGCAGATGTAACTCGATCTCTATAAATAGCGTTGTACTTAATGTGGTTACAGGTTTTTGTTGCTGGTTGTCATCAGACATGTTGTTGGAGTAACAACATGCAAAACACAAGACACTTTTGAACAGTGATGTTCTGTAACATGTGGCATGACCATAACTGTGTGGAAACTTTGTTTTGATTCATGTTTATGTGTGTGTGGTGTCGCAGTTCTGTAAACCACATGAGACTCCCAAACGGATTGTGTTTCTCACTGTAGCTTCAGGTGCAACATGAAAGATTAACCCTTTTTTTTTTTTTGGACAATTAAACATCCTGTTGTCTTTTCTCTTGCTGCATGTTTAATTCATAAGATCTCATCTCCATTGCTTAGTGGGAAGGAGCCGGAGTAAAAATCTTTTTCTTTTTAAGGAATATAGTGCAAGGATCTTGGAAAAAGAATTGATGTCCCGTGGACTTTTTATGGTTTTGTCAAATAAAATCTTTGACGGACTCGGAGTAAAGTCGCAGTTCCTCCACTTTTACGTGTTTTTCAGACTTTGTAAAACAATAATCTTCAGTATGTTGTGTTGGTTTGCTACATAAAATACAAAGAAAATGCACAGAATTTTTCAGTTCCTAACATAGAAGAATTTGAAATAGTTTTCCAAGGTGCTGTTTTTTTCCCACCAGCTTCAAACTACTTTAAATCGGAGAGTTTAAAACTCTCCGAGGGTCTAATAGTGCAGCAGTCAGTGTTTATTTATCTATCTATCTATCTATTTATCTATTTATCTATTTATCTTATCTTATCTTATCTTATCTTATCTTATCTTATCTTATCTATCAAGCATGCTGTGCTTTTGTGATGCATTTGCTTCCAAACATCAGAGAGGAAAATCATTTTCGGGCTCCTTTCTTACAGAAGGTGTCTAATTATTCGCCCTCTGTCGTTTTGAAACATGGCGGTGGGCGGTCATTTAAAGGCATTTTTCTAAGGATGAAAGGACCTTTTTCTAAAGACTAAATGGTATCTTTTGGTTGCTTGGGCCTCTTCCTGTGCTCGCTGGGCTTCTTCAATGCTGACTGTTTAATCTGCAGAACTAAAGGCACACTGTGAAGTTATAATTTAGGCTTTTTGGGCAATTTAGTTTTTGGGAAAATTCTGTTTTGGTTTAGTATTTAAAAAAAGAGAGCTGTGATTGTAATTTCTATGCCTTTTAATCAGTTTATGGAGCTGAATGGGTTGTAAAGAAACGCAGTTCTTTTAACCTACGTACTCAGAAAGCATTTGGATGTGTGTGGGCCCACAGCAGAGACCCCTCCCATCTGGGCAGAGAGGCGTCATCACAGGGACGGGGGGAGGTGATCATAAACAGAACTCATGTTTTGATGTTCGGTCACCCTTCCCTCTGAGGGGAGAAAACCATAACAACAAAATCTGATCATAGCTGAATCACCACATCCTCTCACCGGGAGGATGAAGCGTTTACATTGTTTTATTAATATGTTTTCCACTCTGTGCATACCAATCCACTGAAACAATTTCTTTTTAATGTTGTTTTGTTTTTCGTTTTCCAGATTGACAGAACCTTCAGGCTACCTCACCGACGGGCCCTTCAACTACAAGTTCAAAACAAAGTGCACCTGGCTCATTGAGGCCAAGTGAGTCCTTCATTCGATTATTACGCAGAAGCTGAACAGTCGCAGCAAAATTAAGAATTTATTGATATTTACCTCGACAGTAAAAAGGCTTCAGGACAATTTGTCCCTGTGCTGCAGTCATTTTTATTACTCAGCTGCTGCCATTTTATCCCAAGTTAATCCCAACTGGTAAACAAGCAAACCATGTGGTTAAAAACGTATTTAATCAGTGTTTTAGTTTGTATAAAAAGGCTCAATACTTCCTGTTGTTCCACTCATTGTGGAACAAAACGGTAGTCAACTTGTATGAAATATTATCAAAGGGCCTGATCAAGCAAAAATACTTGCGATCAAACCCTGTAGATATTATTAGTCATTTATATTCACATGTTCTTGCAATAGGCAGAGTGTACGTGTTGATTGTTGGAAAGTTTCCTGTTTAGACCCATTTGTGCTCAAGCGTTAACTTCCTGTGAGGTGCTACTTCAATATTTCCACATAGCGTTCTTTCCTTATGATGGCATCTGTTTTATGAAGTGCACAATTTCTCCTGCAGTAAAGCAGCGCCACAACATGATGCTGCCACCCCTATGCTGCACAGTTTTGATGATTTTCCCAGTCTCAAACTTTCACTCCAGATGTAACGTTGGTTATTGTGACCAAACAGTTCCACTTTAGTTTCATCAGACAACAGGACATGCATCCAGAAACGAAGGTCTTTGTCCCTGTGTGCATTTGGAAAATGGAGTCTGGGTTTTTTATGTTTCTTTTGGAATAATGGCTTCCTCCTTGCTGAGTGGCCTTTCAGTACTGGACACATTCCACTGTGGATAATGACACAGTCTTACTAGCTTCAGCCAGCCAGCATTTTCACAAAGCCTTCGGCTTTTTTCTGGAATTGATTTTCACATTTCAGACTAAAACGAATCGTGTCTGGGAAACGGGAACCCATCTCCTTCCTGAGCAGTATGATGGTTGGACATTCCCATCATGTCTGTACTTGCATGTAATTCTTTGTACAGATAAACGTGACACATTCAACCATATGATTTTTTTCCCCAAGATTGATCCGGATTTATAGGGCTTCACAGTTCTTTTTCTGACTTTGTCATGGCATCAAACAAGAAAGCAAAGAGTTCCAGGTGCGATCTTAAAATATGTGGCTCCAATCAACATTTTCTGATGGTCTTTGGTTAAATTGAAGCAAAGTTACAAAGAATCCTCAAAACCTCCTGTGGGAGATGGCTTCTTTTTTGTGTGGAGTGATGTGGGCACAAATGTGGAGCGCCCACTTAACTTTAGTCATCCTTTACAAAACGGCATAATATAAAACTTAACAGAACATGCAAACGTTTCTGTATGATTGTGTTTCTGCTACTCTTTCACAAACAATAGTTGTCATGAAGGATTAAGACCCTCTATATGCCAATTCTAACCACCATTTAGAATCATTTTTTTTAAACAAGAAATGTAATTAGCCAAAGTTAGTTTGCTATTTTCAGGTCCAGTTGGTTTTGGGATGTTTCTCTGGTCTAAAAGCATTGTTAGACCAAAACAAAATAGTTCATTCATATTTACTTTTTAAATTAATTACAAAGCTGTTTTCTTTCATACAGAACTCAAATTGCTGAGTGTAGCCACTTGATGCTTTTTTTTTTTAAAAACAGACGCAAATAAAAACTACTTCAGTAGTTGAATGTTCTGTGAATTTAAACATTATATTTTTTTGTAGCTGTTGCTGATTTCTGGTGCATGACATGACTTTTAAAGTTATAGTTTTTTAATTCTATTGTTTTTATTTGCATCTTTTTCTGCATGTTCCTTCCCCAATTAAGCTGTAAACGTTATTCCAACTCTCTCTTATCAGACAGAAACACTTGAATTTTTTTTTTCTTTCAGCCCTAATGCGGTTCTGCGGTTAAGATTCAACCACTTTGCCACAGAGTGCAGCTGGGACCACATGTACGTCTATGACGGGGACTCTGTTTATGCTCCTCTGGTTGCTGTTTTCAGGTGAGAAACTCCAGATTGATCAGTCGATATGCACACATCTAAACTTTGAAGTTAGAAAAAAAACATGAAACCACTTTCTATGCCACTAGTTTGAAGTTTTTCTATTTCAGATTGAACATTTTTTGTAACATTTCTTCAGAAGTATTTAAAAATGCTAAATGGGTTTATGCCTATATTTCCACAGTGGCCTGATCGTACCAGAGACGCGAGGTAATGAGACGGTTCCTGAAGTTGAGACGACTTCAGGCTACGCACTGCTACACTTTTTCAGCGACGCTGCCTACAATCTGACAGGATTTAACATACTCTACTCGTAAGTATTTGATGCTAAGCATGTAAGTTGTATTTCAGCTGATAATTACTTGAACCATTCTTTTCTACTCATTTATTTTTATTTCCAGGATAAACTCTTGTCCCAATAACTGCTCCGGTCATGGGAAGTGCACGCCGGGGAACTCGGCCGCCAGCAGAGTGTACTGTGAATGTGACAAGTACTGGAAGGGCGAGGCGTGCGACATCCCCTACTGCAGGAACAACTGCGGGAGCCCCGACCACGGCTACTGCGACCTCACCGGCGAGAAGCTGTGTGTCTGCAACGACAGCTGGCAAGGTGAGAGCCGAGGGGGCAGGGGAAAATGATGACGCTTATAAGTCAAAGTGACTTCTGCAAGTGGGTGGGCTGTGAATGCTGATATAGGCCGGTATGGATTTTCACTGTATGTTAACCTTGAGGAAAAATACCGAGGTTTCACAGTATTTACAAAAAAAGTAGGACGTTTTCTTATTGCTTACATTTAGAATAAAATCTGCTGTTATTCGTGCTATCTTGATTACCACGTTTCTAATGAGGTTTCCTCTAAAATCAGGGTCTTTTTATACAGAGTACAAAATTATGACTTTGTTTAAAAATGATCCAGATCTTCAGGCATCAGCAAAATATTGCTGAAACCTTGTGATAACTCCACTCTTGTGAAATGTGGGCAGAATTTTTCTGCACCATATGCTAAATTGTTGGTGATGTCATGAGCAGTGTGATACCAGGCAAAGCAGGAACAGCTGTGTTGTGCTATGACACAATGTAACGCTGATTGCTATCATGTTGATAAGCCCTTTGACTGCGCCTTATTATATTTTTCCAGCTGGAAGAAGGCAAAAGCTTTTGCATGATGGAACTTGACAGTAATTCAGCATGCCCTTCACTAACACACACTGATGTTTGGCAAC